CTCAGAGGCCAGCCCCGGGCGCTCCGCCCTCGCCGGCCGCACATTGGCAGGCCGGGCCGCCACTCGAGGCCCGCCCCATGACTCATTGGGCGACGAGCCTTTTGAAACCGAACTGAAGGCGTTCTCTGAGGGAGCGAGGGGAAGAGGAGGGGCGTGAGGACTGGGATGGGGGAAAAGAAGAAAAGGAGGGACGACGGGAGGGACGTGGAGTCCCGCCCTCTCTGTCGCGACGGTTGGCTGAGAGAGTCGTGACGTCACACTGGACCCCTCGAAGAGGGCTGGGGAGTGGCTAGAATGGTGAGGGCCAAACAGCAGTGACGTTGTGTCTAGGCCCCGCCCCTTTCCTTGGAGCGCCGAGACTCGGGCTACGGAAGTTCCGGCCAATCAGAGGGAAGGCCCAAAGATGACATGGTAACTGTTCTACCCTCCTTTATCCCCTGTCTGCGGGCAATGAAGGTCCGGCTCTCTGGCCACCCAGCTGGCCCTTCGGAACTTGGAGAACCCTTTCGGGGTACCTCTCGGTCCAAATGGCTTGTCTGTGGCCGCTCCGAGACCCTCATTTCCACTGTTCATAACAGGGCAAGCCAGTCCTCGCATATCCTTTCCTCCTCTGAATCTCTAAGGTAGATCTGAGCAATGGTCTATTTTAGGGCTTGATCCCAAGGAGGATTCTTGGACCTTTTGCCTCTTTCAAAACCTGTACCTGTTCTGGGTGACTTGGTGCAAATGTCCCGCCTTCTCCAGGACACATTTGCTAACCTCAACAAGTTGTGATGTTTGGACGATCTCCTGTTACTTTGTATCTTATTTTTATGTTCTTTGCCTCCTCTCTCCCCTGGACTTGGTCAAAGCTGCATTTTCATACTTTTGGTGTCTGTTTCATCCTAGGACCTAGCTAAGGGCACAGGAGTGGGCATGTTCTAGAAACAGACCCGTCTAGTGATTGAAGTCTCACAGAATAGCAGGGTCTATCCTCAGAAAAAGTGTGCACACTACCTCTCCACCACCTCCTAGAACATCAGTATACAACCGAAACGAGATGTGCTAGGAATTTTAAATGAATCTTCAATATCCTTGGTAGTGACGGGAATTAGAAACATCTTAAAAACGAAATGGTGCTGGGGGTGTACTTCAGTTGATAGAGTGCTTGCCTGCAAGGTGCAAAGCCTTATATTCAGTCCCCAGCACCACATAAACATAGATAAATGGAATCTAGGACTTATGTGTCTGGTGCATTCACTTAGGATACTGTTTTCAAGGTTCATCTACATGGATAACATGTATCTGTAGCACGATTAATAAAAACACAGAGACAGAAATTAGGGTTCAGCCTGAAGGTCAGAAAAGCAAAACGGCCAGCCCCTGGCTCTTACCTCTATCTCCATCAGAAATGGCGATCCTGCCTTCAGGAATCTCAGGATAAGACTGTGAGAGCTGTCACCTCCCATCTTATATTCCTTTCTAGTGCTAGGATTAAAGGCTTGCACCATACTGCCCGGTTTCTGTGACGAACTAGTGTGGCTACTGAGATTAAAGGTGTGTGTCACCACTGCCTGGTTTCTTAGGCTGTTTTACTCTCTGAACTTCAGGCAAGTTTATGTATTAAAAATACAGATGAAATATCACTACATGTAATACCCCATTCAGAACTGGAAAGATGGCTTAGCAATTAAGAGCACTGACTGTTCTTCCAAAGGATACAGGTTTAATTCCCAGCACCCACATGAGAGTTCATACCTGTCTGCAACTTCAGTTTCAGGGGACCCAATACCCATGGCAAAATATTAATGCACATAAAGATAAAAAATTTTAAAGCTGGAACTGGAGAGTTGGCTCAGGGGTTAAAAGCACTGGCTGCTCTTCTAGAGGTTCTGATTTCAAGTCCAAGCAACCACATGGTGGCTCACAACCATCTGTAATGAGATCTGGTGCCCTCATCTGGCATGCAGACTGTATACATGATAAATAAAGAAATCTTTAAAAAAATCTCTTTGTACAGGTATTCCATCTTCAGTCTATGACTTAGTTTGTGGACAATTGGGATTCCACTTTTTAACCATTATGGCTAATGCTGCTATGAACATTTGTATTCAAGCTTTCTGTAGACATGTTTCAAATCTCCTGTGTGTATACCTAGGTATAGTACATGGCAACTCTGTATTTAACTACTCCTCACCATACATCAAGTGCTTTATATATATTGGTGTATTTGAGATTTACTTATACTTTCATGTGTTGATTTTTAATTGCTTTTTTGTTTTTTAAAAAATACTTGTTTGCACTCAGGAAGCAAGATCTCTGAGTCTGAGGCCAGCCTGGTCTACAGAGAGAGCTCCAGAACAGCTGGGGCCACACAGAGAGACCCTGTCAAAAAAAAAAATCAAAGCACAAAGATTATTTGTCTGTGTGAATGAATGCTATGTCTGTGTGAGTGTTGCAGGTGCTTATGAGCCTCCCTAATAGTTGCTGAAAACTGAACTTAGTCTATAAGAACAGTAATGTGCTCTTAACCTCTGAGTGATTTCTCCAGTCCAATTGTCTCATTTTTAATACTATTATTGTGTGTGTGTGTGTGTGTGTGTGTGTGTGTGTGTGTGTGTATGGTGTGTGTGTAGGCATATCCATGCCATGATACACAGAGACCAGCCTGCAGCAGTCTCTCCTGTCCTTCATATGGGTTCTGGGGCTCTGCACCCAGGGTATCAGATTTGCACAGCAAATGTTTTTACCTGCTGAGCCATTTTGCCAGTCCTAATTTTTTTTTCACATTTTGGGGACAGAAAGATGGTTCAGTGGTTAAGTGTGCTTGTTGCTCTTGCAGAGGGTCCAGGTTCAGTTCCCAGACCCTTCATGCTGACAGACCACAATTGTCTGCTAACTCCAGTTCCAAGGAATCTGATACCCTCTTCTGACCTCTGTGGACATGCACATGATACATGTATAAATAAGCAAAATACCAGTAAATAAATCTTTTTTAAAAATTTGTTTTTTTTTTCCTCACTGTGTAGTATAAGTGCCACACTTATTTACCAGGCCAAAGTCACCTGAGAAACCCAGTGGCCTGGAAGCTGCACTGCCTCTCAGAACTGGAAGGCACACTGTGCCCCAGGAGCCATGGACTCTAACCTGAAAACCCTAGACGCACGCCTCTCAAGGAAGCTAAGCCAGGCTAGTGCCATGGTTCCCTGCAATTCCCCCTTTTATATTCTTTAACTTTAGGGCGTGCAACTTATTATTTAAAGCATACATGGAGTAGCAGCTCAATCTTAAGACTATAATGTTTCGGGCTGGAGAGATGACTCAGAAGTTAAGAGCATTGGTTGCTCTTCCAGAAGGGCCCGAGTTCAATTCCCAGCAACCACATGGTGTCTCACAACCACCTCTAATGAGGTCCGGTGCCCTCTTCTAGCCTGCAGGGATACATGGAGGCAGAATACCGTATACATGATAAATAAACATCATTTATTTATTTTTTAAAAAAAGACTATAATGTTTCCCAGTTAGCCAGCAAAAGCTTCCCAGCGACATTTCTACGGACTATAGTTTAGAAGTCTATTTAGAGAGAGAAAAATAACGACCAAAAATCTTGACCAAGTTTTGTGCAGCAATGGAAGAGGGCAATTCATCTTACTTTGAACGTTGAATGGTGATTATTTTATCATGCAAGGCCTGAACATCAATACTTAAATTATCATGTGACCATCTCTGCTTAGGGAACAATATGACTAGCCTTGGGAGCACCCAAGATCTCAGAGTCATTGACATAGACATAGACAAGAATGTTATTCTCTTCCCAATTAACAATGTAAAACACAAGGGGATCATCAGGTCTATAAGCCCGGAGCAGCTCAGCATTAACAGATGTGTTCAACAGAGACAGCATAGCAAAAACAGCAGTTCAGCAGTCACACTCGTCCACTAAGATTTGCTGCCATTGGAAGGTCGCTTCTGTTCTTGGTTCTACAGCACCTTTGCCCTGAGCTTCTCCTTTTCTTCAGGTGTAGACACTTTGGAAGCTCGGCTTCCATCATCCACAGGTAGCCACACTGACTTTTCAGCACCCTGAGGAAAAACACAAACAGCTTGACTCCAGTGAATTACTGGATCAGGGTATTCCACTGAGCTAACACGATAGTTCTCCAAAGAACTGACCTTGGATTTTTTTCAGAGGGGCTCAAAACCAATCTGCAGCAATGAGGCCATCCTTGCCCAAATTAAAAAATTGAAAGTATATATAATAGAAGATAAAGTATTGTGAGAAAGAGCCATATTATCCTTCTCCCCTCCTTTATTTTTAAATAACATTTAAGCTTTCCATTACCTCTTTCCAAAAAAGATTGACCCTGAGGGTTATAAGGAATGCCTGTGATGTGGATTATATCAAACTGTTGGTAAAATTTCTGAAAAGGCTTGGCAGTGTATGTAATGGCACTGTTATTTTTTAATATTCTGCAGAAGCATAAAATAGTAAAAGTCAGTGCTAAGTTGTTGGAGGAGGGGCTGCTTATCCTTTCTGGCTCGCTTACACCCAAAATAATCACACAGAAGCTGTATTAATTAAATCACTGCGTGGCCCATTAGCTCTAGCTTCTTATTGGCTAACTCTTGCATATTAATTTAACCCATTTCTATTAATCCATGTATTGCCACATGGCAATGGCTTACCGACAGAATTTCGACATGTCTGACTCTGGCCATGGCTCCATGGCATCTCTCTGACTTCTCCTTCTTCCTCCCAGCATTCAGCTTAGTCTTCTCCGCCTACCTAAGTTCTACCCTATCAGGCCAAGGCAGTTTATTCATTAACCAATAAAAGCAACACATAGACAGAAGGACCTCCCGTACTACTAAGTCATTAGAAGTAGTTAATGAAAATTTTAATTTTATAATGAGTTAATAAAGGTTTATCCAATTTTTATTTTTGTAAACAAATGTTTAACATTTTATTATTTTTAGTAGAAAGGAAAATACACAAAAATCTCCTGAGTAAATTTGGAACGTGGGGATCATGGGAGAGGGTAGAAGGGAAGGAGGAGTAAGGGAGGGGAGCAAAGAAAAATATATAAATCAATAAAAACAATAAAAAGCTACAGTCATTTAAGGAATGCTGAGCAGAAGAAATAGTCATTCCCAGAGAAGCACACACCAGTTGGCTATATAATACCAAATGATCAGTCTGGAAATATACATACAAATAGCATTATATAGACTGAGCAGGATGTATTTATGTATTTAGGAATATATATGTATATACATATATGTATGTAACAACAATTATTTTTTAAAAATATTATTAAAAAGGTCATGAATTTGAATGAGAGTGAGGAGGGGTATATGGAAAGTTTGGCAGGAAGAAAGGGAGGAGGGTAATTATGTGATTATATTATGTTTCTTTTTAAAAAAGAAAAAGAAAGGAAAGCAAAATACCATGCTTATAATGTATAATAGAAGCAAGAGGAAACTATTTTTTCTTAAAGCAGTAGCAACAAACTTTTGACATAAAGTTGGACTATTTGTCATTATGCATTTCTTTTTTCTTGTTGAATAACTGCCAAAAGTTGGGGCATTGCTTGCTCTTGGAGGGCCACAGCCAGAGTTAACCCCTCTTTCTTTCTAAAGAGACAGATGGCAGTCTGGCATGTAGCATTAGCATTTTCACATGCCAGTTGTTTAACAGTTATCATTTTCACCTTCCCATCAACCATTAGGCAATTGACCACGACCTCCCGCCGAAGATGAGAAACAGAATCTTGATATGGCTTATGAGGCCCCTGTCTAATTTTAGAAAGTTCCTCTGTCTTTTTCCAGAATCTGGTAACTTATGCCATGCCGGTAAAACCAATGCATTGGTTTGTCCACAAGCCTCAGGAGGAAATGTAATCTGTTGATGAGCACTAATGCACATCATATGCTCATATGCCTGCTAACTTTTCAAAAGTTAGGAGCACCTAACCATCCTGGCTATCCTGGAACTATATCTGTAGACCAGGCTGGCCTCAACTCATAGAGATCCACCTGCATTTGCCTTACAAGTGCTGGGATTAAAGGTGTGTGGCATTACCTCTTGGCTATTTTGTTGATATTTTTTGTCCCTTTTTTGTTTGTTTGTTTTTGTTTTGTTTTTTAAGACAAGGTTTCTCTGTGTAGCTTTGGAGCCTGTCCTGGAACTCTGTAGATCAGGCTAGCCTCAAACTCACAGAGATCCTCCTGCCTCTGCCTCCTGAGTGCTGGGATCAAAGGCATGATCCACCACCACCTGGCATATTTTGTTAATACCTAATAGCTTGGTCCTGACATCTTTTTGAATAATCAGTCTTCCTCAGTAAATATTCACCCCCTAGTAAGAAAAGCCTTTGCTGAGATCCTCCAGTCAAAGGGAAGAAAGCTTCCCCAGAAATAAAATCAAGGGGAGACAATATAAAAAGAGAAGTTGATCCATACTGAGCACAGACCTACTTAAGATCCTTAAAGAGTCAGAACTGGGAAAATAGCTTAGTGGTTAAGTGCCCTGTCTACTCTCCCATAAGACCCAGAGCCAATAGCCAGCACCCACACGGCAGCTTACAACAGTCTACAACTCCAGTTCTAGGGGACCTGGCACCCTCAAACAAGAGCAAAACACCAAAGTATATAAAAATAAATAAGTCTTTTAAAAGGATCCTTGCTGGGCGGTGGTGACACATGCCTTTAAATCCCAGCACTCGGGAGGCAGAGGCAGGTGGATCTCTGTGAGTTCAAGGCCAGCCTAGCCTGGTCAACAGAGCTAGTTTCCGGACAGGCTCCAAAGCTACAGAGAAACCCTGTCTTGAAAAATTCAAAAATAAAATAAAACAAAAAGATCCTTGAGGGGGCTGGAGAGATGGCTCAAAGGTTAAGAGCATTGCCTGCTCTTCTAAAGGTCCTGAGTTCAATTCCCAGCAACCACATGGTGGCTTACTACCATCTGTAATGGGGTCTGGTGCCCTCTTCTGGCCTGCAGCATACACACAGACAGAATATTGTATACATAATAAATAAATAATTTTTTTAAAAAAAAAAAAAGATCCTTGAACGTTTTAAGTGCAGTGAGTGTATAATTTTTAGCTCTGCCCTGAGTTGTTATGATCAGGCATTTCACTCACCTGTTAAAGAAAATCTGCTCCTGTCTTCTCCCATCTCTTGGGCTCCATACAAAGTCTCTTGACTGGGAGACCTGTACCGTGACTTTGTAGAACTCTAGGAAAACTCTGAAGCCATTTCTGAGAACTCTGAGGCCATTTCTGAGACCTAGTGCTCCCCCCGCCCCCTGAGAACCTAACTACACATGCACCATACTGGAAAGTTGGAGACTGTCCATCTCCCTGTGTCCTTGTGGATGTTCTCCAGATAGATCCCCATTGCTGGAACTGGGACAAGATACCCGCAGATGTCCACAGATGTTTTGACTCAGTCCCTGGGAAGGGGTCAAAGTAACCCTCAAATGTTTCCCCTTACCTCACTTGATCTGGCAACCACTCTCCAGCCTGGGCTCAGACCAATTATTGTTAATAGCCCTTTGAATAAGCCAATGCTAATAGTTAAAAAAACAACCCCCGAGTCCACCCCCTCTTGTTTCTATGGCTTTTTGCTTTAAAAATATCTTGTAACAGTCGTTTGGAGTCTTTTGGCTTCTTAAATACTGAAAGACCCGGTCACGACAGAATTAAATCCTCTTGCTTTTATATCAGCTGCAGTGTGAGAGTGGTCTCTTGGAGCGACTCCTCCTCAGTGATTTGACTTCAGGGTACAACAACTTAAACGGAGTTAATTCTTGTATGGAGGGTGAGAAACCTCTAACAACTTCAGAAAGAAATGAAGCAAAGGAGCAAGAAAAAAAAAAGTTTTGATGCTATCAGGAACTGTGTTTGCTGGGTAGGTTTTACGAGTGGAGGACTTGGAACTAGAAGCACAGAGTCAAAGCAGCACAGAGGAGGAGGAATACCCTCTACCTGGCCACAGAGAGACAGGCTCTAAGTTTTCTTCTGTTCCCAGTGTTAGTTCTGCTTTTTCTGATCACCTTCATTTTTAATTTTAACTGTGTCATTTTTATCTAGTACTGCTTTTATTTCCAAAGCTGATTTTTTTTTCCTGGTCCCCGTGCATTTAATTCTCCCTGAATTGCTCTTCCTAACTGGGACAAGTTCTGGGATCCAGAGATCCTGCCTTTCGGGGACAGAAGGCTTCAGTTCACTAACTCCAGTAACTTCATTCCTCCAGCGAGCTCCTTCAACTCTACCTGTCCTTCTTTTGACCTCCCATGGCTGCTCCTGCCTTTTTATACTTGTGAGCACACTATTCCCAGGAGTTCCTTGCCTTTAAGTCTCCCTTTTTATTTTTTTTAAATCTCCATATTTCAGGTCCCTGTTCCCAGTGCCAGCTGTAAGTGCAATAATGTCTACCGTCTACCAAGCTTTCATTAGGACTCTGACCACAGAGTAGCAAATAAATTCCTTGTCTATTGCCCAGTCTAATTTCCCCCACCTTTCTGGGAACTCTCTTAATTACTTTTCAAGATAGTTTCGATCTGTGATCCAGACTGTCCTAGAAGTTACTATGTAGTCTAGGCTGACCTCAAACTCACAGCAACCCTCCTACCTCAGTCTCTCAAGTGTTCAGGAGCTAGTATAAGGAGGCAACCCCCACCTAAGATCACTTGATCCTAGTGCAGGGGCAGGAACAGAGTAGGAGCACAGGAAATATTTGACGGACATTATTGCAGCGTAGGAAGATAAGCAGATGGTCATAGGGAGTAGAGATAAGGAAAAGAGGACCAGAGTTTCACGGAAGAGGGAGGTAAAGCTAGGTCTAAAATCTCATTGCTGGAGTACAGGATGATCAGACTATGAAAGCTGTTGAGCACCACACAAGGAATTTGCCCCTGCTCATCAAAACTATGTAGAGTTACTAAATAATTGATTAGCAACAAAGAAGGGACATGGTCAGATCTGTTATTTAAGAGGAGTCATGGTGCTTTAATCCCAGTACTGGGGAGACGAAAGTATGTACATCTCGATGAGTTCCTGCCAGCCTGGTCTACATAGTGAGTTCCAGGCCAGCCAGTGCTAAAAGGGAGAGCCTGCCAAAAACTAAATAAAAAGTGGGGAGGACCAATGTGGGCTGAAGAGGTGGCTCAGTGGTTACGAGCAATCACTCCATTACGACTACTGTTCTTGCAAAGGACCTGGGCTGTGTTCCTATCACCTATATGTTGGCTCACAGCTCCAGTTCCAGGGGATCAGGACAGGCTCCAAAGCCACAGGGAAACCCTGTCTCGAAAAACAAACAAACAAACAAACAAACAACCCAGGAAGACAGGAAGGCAATAAAGTAATCTTATAGGAAATATTTTTATTTATTATTTATTTTGTGGATGGATGTTTTGCCTGCATGTATGTATGTGTACCCATATCCATGCGTTGTCCCCTAGGAGACCAGAAGAGGGTGTCAGAGTCCCTGGAATCAGAGTTACAGGTGGTTATGAGTCACCATGTGGGTGCCAGGAATTGAACCCAGGTTTTTTAGAAAAGCACACAGTGCTCTTTACTGCTGAGCCATCTCTTCAGCCCCACAGAGCTGTTCTTGACACATTCTGTATCCTCTTCTTATCTATCCCCCATTTGGACCTTGCTACTGAATGCTGAAGTAGTTTTGTGAAGTCTGTTTGAAAGGGCATGCTATGTGGATGTGCACAGGGAGAC